GTAATTGGTTGGGAAAAAATGGTGTTACTTACGTCTTAGCGCAACCACCTTGGCAAAATTTGTCAATTTTTTATAGAAGAAAAAGGTGATTCTATGAATTTTTGGATCCAACTTACAATAGATATGGAACTGTTATGCACATGGCTTCCAGAGTTTGGGAAATTCTGAAAATTTGGCAACTTCTCTTAAGGTGGTTCCGATAACACATAAGTTCGTAATGGTATCTTCACTATGCTGTTCTTTGTGTTTCTGTGCACAAAGTAAGGAATTTTTATTGAATTTTTAAAGGAACGTGAACTAATCCAGTACAATGTGCTGTGTCCAAAATGCAACTGTTCAGTGGTTTTGAAAAATGATCACAAACTCTCAGATGACATAACATGATACTGTGGGGGGAAGGGGAATGACAACAGTGCTTCAAAGACTATTCGGGTATTATCAAATGTTACAAAAAGCAAACTCATCATAGCTCTTGTTGTTGACGTACGATGTACTTGAAAAAATTGTTGCCTCAAAGGTAAGATTATGGTTTCAGATGAAACACAAAACCTCCTTGAACCAGTGCTAAGGCAGACAATTCTAAAATACATCAAAATGCACAGCCAAATGTGATAAAATGGTTGAAATTGCTGAAAGCAAATTCAGAAAAAAGGAAATATCATGCCCATCATATAGAAAGGCAGAGGGTGTTTGGAGGAGTTGAACATGAAAGTGGAGTTTTTTTTATGTGGCTGTGCAGGATCGTGCAGCAAAAACATTTATCAATGTTATTCCAGAATACATTTGCCTAAAGACAACAGACTAATTTTAGACTGTTGGAGGGCTTATCAAAGTTTAGATACCCCAAGCATTGACCATTTAACTGTAAACAATTGCATCACATTTGTGAATTGAAATTACAAAAGCACATACTAATACAACTGAAAATACCATGGCAACATATTAAGTTTATAAATATTATATTAAAACACAGCTACCCCAATATAGCCGGAATGGAAACTTTGCCTTGGATTTAGCAGCATGCTTGTTCTGAAAACAATGTTCAGCAAAAGGACTGGACAGTTATAAAATTTTTAGAAATTTTTCATGAAATTTAATGGTGTCTTTTACTTTGTGACTCAAAAGATATTATTAATCAATATTTAGCATCTATCAGCATTTTAAAGATATTATCTATAATTTTCATAAGATACGAATGTTTTCTAAATTTTCATGAAGAAAATCATTCATAAAAATATGATGGGAATATAAATTCATAAAAATATGATGGTAAGTGGGTTTTTTTTTTAATTGCTTTCTCAAGAATAAAATATGCTGAAATCTATTCAGTCTTCAAAAATATTTTTTCTTTTCACATCATTAAATTTGTGTTTGTAATAAAATTGTTAGAGTTTGAAAATTTAAATGAACTACACTGAACAGAATTTTCACCCTCTAATGATTATAACATAAAATTAGATAATTTCAAGAATTTGAATGAAATAATTTGTTACTCATTGAATAATTTCTCCTAGACTCCTTCAGCAACAATTTTTTTTAAAAAATTAGATAATTTGACTGAAATTTCATATTTTTCTTCAAAGGGGAAAAAGCAAAAATAATTTCAATTATATTTTATAAAAATTAAGAAGTGTCAAAATTTTCAACAAATTTTTTGATTAAACATATAAAATTCAAAATAATCAGAATATTTTTAAATATTAATAAACTGCTGCTCCGTTACTTACAAATTTATTAACACAGCAAATCTAATTAAAAAAAAAAAAAAAAAAAAAAGAGAAAATCTGGATACATAACTGCTATGTGCCACTTGCATCAGGTTGCCAGATCAGTGTTTGTTATGATTTGTTGTAAAGAAAAGAAAATCGTAACAAACAGGAATGATAAACATAACCCTCAAATTTCAAAACATGTATTGCCACCACTATTGCAATAGATGGTAGCATTAAAGGCTGGTGTAATGTGTGCACAAGCATTAGTGAGTTTCCAAATAAAAACATTTTCACAAAATTCTGTGTTGCATACTTTGGCGAAATTCCACTTTTCTCAGTGATTCTTGTCAGAGTTGGTTGGATAATACAATAGTACCATTAATCTTACACAGAATAACCGTTAGAAATTTGTATCATTTCACAGTCATATTGTTATGATATTTTGTACTATGTAGTTGACAGCACCAAGCAGCAGTAATGTAATGGCAACGATTAAAAAAAAATGCTGTGTTTTATGGTATCATGAAAATTAAATTGTCAATTAATAGTAGTGTAGAAGTTTATATGGATGCAGTCCTCCAGACGAATCCTTTAATAACATCAAGAATTTTAATGAAAAGTGCTACAGAAGCTGGTAGTACCAATTACCTTCCAAGAATGGAGGCCTACTGTAAATGATGAGATTGTTAACTCTATTGTGAATCAGACAGAGGGCATATTGGTAGCCACATCTTTGTCACACCAGTTTATTATATTGATACTTTCTAGGCTAGAATAACACATGTTGCTAAATGTTACAGAGCAAATGTTGAAGAATACATGGTGAGAACTGAGATATGTATTTGACCTTTGGCATACTACAAAGAATGCATGAGTTGAAATTTACTAATGCAGTAATTTTTCATTTAAATAAATAAATAAAATTACTGCCACTGCATCTCCAAAAAATTAGATATTTCTAATAATAATAATTTTTGCACATTAAATTTTTATAATAGGCAAAAGCATTTTTGCTCATGCTGTCTTTGTTATTACATAAGTCATAAATTATTTCTGAGCACTTTTTAGTGCAATGTTCATTGCTTTTCTATTGATTGCACTGGTTTGTTTCAGTCTTGTTTATATATAATTTTATTTTGAACAACGCTGTTTGAAATAAAATACTTTTATCTCCAGTGCCAAAACTGTTGTCATTTGGTAAAATATCATATAGTATCTACCTTTCAGTTTTAATTAACATACTCAGATGTTCAAATGCAGTGATTATACTCAATTAGAAAGCAAAGCGGAAGTAAAAAGAGCTGAAAGCCATCAGAAAATAAATTTAAAAAAAAAAAAAAAAAAAAATTTAAACTTATTCACTCCCCATGATACACTGCAATAAAAAAGAAGTTATGACACTGGCTATATATCTCATACTTTTATGTAATTATTACATAACTTATATTATTTAATACTAGAAATGCCAACAGCAGTCAAATTGACTGCTCAGCGAGTTAAATGTACATACAATCAAAAGTCTTTAATCCGTAATGATCTATAATCCGGACCTTAAAGCTACAAACTTTCTGCGCATGTGTAAATGCATAATACCTTTAAGCGTGCACATATGCGTTTATGCATGTGCGCTTAATGTATAACGGTCGGTATAAGCTAAGCTAAAATTATATATTTCAGTTAATGTTGCAGATTGCGTTGTTCCTTAATCTCCTACTTAGATGCTGCTTATTATTTTTGGCAGACTGTTAGAGCAATTTTATAAAAGTAAGCTTAAACTTTCGATTATGTCAGAAAGAATTTACGATTCTGGAGCTGCCGAAGGATCTACAAAACGAAAGCATATTTCGATGTCCGTCAAACAAAAAGTGTAATTGCTGCAAAAAATGAATAAAGGCATGAACAGAATGACAAAGAGGTGATTTGTTTCTCTAACCAATCCGAAATCTGTTTATCAATTTCATGCTGCTCTCGGGGGCGGGGGGGGGGGGCGAGACATCGCGACGCGCAATGAACTGGAAGTTGATCTGTCAGCGCTATCCTTATCTTCAGGACAGATGTTTTTATTTTATTCGGCTTATAATTCCTTACTAAATGTAGTATTTCATCTCATTGTACTCTGTCTTTGATATGATTTAAATCAAATTCCTCGTCATTATAATTCGCTTCCGATAGCGAAGAAAGTGACATAGGTTATTGAAAACGAAAAAATTTCTAATTTTTCGTTTTCGAATTTTCAGAATTTCTAATTTTGATAGTGCGTAATGTCTGCTTTATGCATGCGCGCGTTGAAAGGAATGTTTAATAAAGTAAACAAATAAATATTAAGCTTTTTTTTTGTGTAAATTTTGATACTCTTTAGATCATAATTGCTCTTTATTTCATAAATTACGGTTTCATATTTTTAATTTTATAATTTCTGCATGCCATCTTACCAGATTTAAACTGATGATCTATAATCCGGAAATACCGATAATCCAGAATTGCCGAAGTTTCGACGAGTCCGGATTAAAGACTTTTGACTGTATATGATAAATTATTTTCTCCTTTTAATGCATTAATTATCATATCCATTTTAAATTTTAAAAAAACTTTTATCATTGTATTTTCTGTTTTTTAGTCAAACCTGTTATCAGTGATGAAATTTTTAATCAGTATTAAAACACAATAAATTATAAGAAAAATAACTCAATGCCATTCTGTCAATGAAGTTTGGAAGTTAGATGTAATATTGTAAAAAGTATTTTACTTGTCACTGAAGTTAAAAAAAAACATATTGCCTACTAAACAAAGATAGCAAACTCAAAATTTTTTTTTTCTTGCATCTATTTTAAATTGCAGCACACTTTTTAAAAAATCGCTTAATTAAAAAAAAAATTATCCTTCTTGTTTTAAAAGAGGGCAAAAAGTTTGTTTTATAATCTATGAAAATTTTAAACTTTATATCCAATACATTTCTTGATGTTAAGCATTTTAAAATCATAAACATCAAATGGTCTAAAAAATCAAAAGATTTTCAAAAATTAACTCACAAGTTTCATCGAAAAGATTTTTATCCTTTGTATTCATTCGATGATGCAAATAGTAAAATTCTGATATACTAGCTTATTTTGCTCATTTAAAAGAGATAAGTGTGAAAAATCTAAATCTAATTACAAGAAATGGCTTTAACATATATCATTGTCATTGACAACAGGGTATAGATTACAGATCTTCACAGATTATTATAATATTCCTGAATTAAACTTTATTAAATGTTTACAATAATTATGTTTGTGCTTTTTTTTTCAGACACAAGTTGCCAAAGGAGTGTCTTTCAAGCACGGGAAGAATCTTTTCTCAGATGCACACAGCAAGTGGAAATACAGTACTCTTAATACAGAAAGAAAGCATAATTTGTATAGAGATTTTGGAATAAAAAAGATAATATACCCAGCATCTAAAGTGGAATGGCATGGGTGTAGTAAAAACACTGCTCGATGTTTTGGTACCGTAATCAATAATATGCCTGAATACTTATATGAAAAAAAATGGACTCCCCCATGTTGCCTTGAAAATTTACGTCAAACTGCAAGATATGTATTTAGTATTCTAGAAAAATGCAAGGTACGTTACTGGCTGGAAGGTGGCAGTCTTTTGGGAGCTGCTCGTACTAATGATATCATACCATGGGACTATGATGTTGATGTCGGAATATATAAAGATGACATTCAAAAGTGTGAATGGCTTAAGAACTCACTCCAGCAATCTATTGTAGACACTCAAGGTTTTGTGTGGGAAAAAGCACATGAAGGAGATTTCATACGTGTACAATTTAGTCAGATGAATCATTTACATGTTGATATATTTCCATTTTATTCACGAAATGGAACCATGACTAAAGATACGTGGTTCCCCAGTCATAAGCAAGATACAGAATTTCCAGAACATTACCTTAAACCGCTTTATAAAATAAAGTTTATTGGAGTTGTAGTGTCTGCACCCAATAATTACAGAAAATTTTTAGAATTTAAGTTTGGCAAAGGTGTGATAGAAAATCCTGAATATCCAGATCCAAAAGTATTAAAATTTCCAAAACCTAATTAAACTTTTACATAAATTATAACAAATTACGTCACTGCAATTCTTAAATGATTTTAAAATATGATTTGTTTGATACCTAACAGCACTGTTTAAAATATGTGCAAGTTGGAATTATTAAAAAATACCTCAGCAGAAGCATATTTAATATATATTTTATTATTTAGTATAAAGACTGCTTTTACATGTCTAATCAGTTATCTTGCTTGAATACTTTACATTTTCTAACATCAGTGAATCTTCCCAATCTGTAAAAAAAATTTAATAAATTGCTTAAGTAACTGTGTTGAGATAAGTTTAACATTTACAAAGGTAGATAATAATTTATTTAGAAAATTGCTATCATTTTAAGTTTCTAGTATGTGTGTGTATATATTATATATAATTAGAAAATAATAATTTATTTACTAAAGTATTGATTAAGTGATTATATTATCTCCTAAGTTTAATTATAATTAGAAAATATGTATACATACGCACAACATTCACACATGTAATAAAGAATGTAAATAAATATGAATAAAATATGTGCAAGATTATTGTAAAACATTTAAAAATTAATAATACATCATACCAAATTATTAATTAATAGAAGTATTTTTTAAACATATGTTTGTGCTCAATTGCTACCATTGTCATGAATACAATACCTGGAATAAATGATTATATTACTCTTCATGAGACGTTCTGTCTTTCTGATACGAGACACTTTGAAATTTTTGAAACTGTCCACCTACTAATTAATATTTATTTTCTCAGTTAGCAATTTCCGTTAGAAATTTTCTAATCTTTTAAAAATAATCTATTTTAGTTATTATTTTTCTCAGTAGATGTTACTACTATACCAGGGCTTAAGTTTATAAGCAAAAAATATTCAAAATAGGATCACAAGAGTGATATCCATGTATCTCGCATTTTTCAATATTTTAAAAAATTTTGGTATACAATTTATGATATGTATGATTCTTTTTAATATTCAAAGGTATTTTATTTTCAAAAATCTTAATTGGATTCAATATTTTATAACATTAATTTTGCAGTTGAAATAAGTGGGTTAAAATTTGTCCCACCACACACTTGAATTTCCGCTCAATAGATGGCAGCACTCACGATTATTTTTTCTTTTCTTTTTTGCATCTACTTTTTTCGTGATTGCGCGCGCTTTTACATCCGTTGTATGCTCTGATGTGCTAAAATGTCTAGAAAAAAAATTAACAACTCAGGAAGCTTTGGATCTTTTTGCTGAATTGCCATCCGATTGCGACTCAAATGCTTCAGATGTCAGTTCTGATTCAGATGAAATTGAAATCCAGGAGAGAATAACTGAGGTTGAAGTTATTGCTGAAGAAGAAAGGGAAGTAGTTATAATTTGTTTGTTTTAAAGACACAGCATCTATGCATGTGGCACTGTAAAAGAAGAAAATGAAGAGAATATATAGACTTTTCAGTTAGCGATGATTCAATTTATTGCATAAAATGGAAGGATAAAAGATCCGTTTCTATCCTGTCTTGCTTGGAAAAGGCAACTGAAATGAAAGAAATTAATAGAAAAGAACGAGATGGAAAAAAAAAAACAAAACAAAAAAAAAAAAAAAAAAAAGTACTGTGCCCAAACAGCATTATTTCATACAATAAGAATATGGGATATGTCGACTGATTGATCAACTGAAAGGACTATATGAAATAGACCGCGCAAAAGCAAGAAATGGTGGCACATGATTTTTTTTTTTTTTTACTTTTTAGATGCGAGTATAGTAAACGCATTTATTCTATTTAAGTTTGTTCGCGAACCCGATCATGATGTAAAAACAATGAAAGATTTTCTTCTCTCAGTTATAGAAGGTCTAATGGCACTTGCAGGCAAGAAAGAGCTGAAAAGAAAACTGAAATCCCCAGTTCAAATAAAAACTAAAAAACCCGTTCGTACAACCAGAAAAGAGACTAAAAAATGTAAGTCAAACGCCAAAGAGAACGAGCAGGAGAAGATGTGCATATTGCAGCACATCGAAAGAAGAACGACGAACATTTTGGATGTGTGAAACATGTGAAGTGCCTCTATGCTTACAAAAGAATGAAACAACATGTTTTTCAAAGTTTCATGAAAAATGACTTTTTTTTCAATTTTAATCATATATAAATGTTTTTGAATCAAGTGCCAATTTTAATATTTTATTTAGTATCATATGTACGAGTATCAAATTTTAATCTTAAAATAATATTCAAGAAAATATTTTCTTTTGTTCCTAAAATTTAAAAATATTAAATATATATATAAAATGTGCATATGCAAAAGTATGCATATTTAAGTGTTTATTATGAATATTTTAGAATGCACGCTTTATTTTGTTTATTCATTCCACATATGATTTTTTTTTCCCTGCTATACACCAATATGCTATAAGACATGTGCTAGTTGCATGGTGGGACAAACGGTATCCCACCTTCCCCCGTAAAAATAAAAGCGCAGAATTTTTTTCAAGCCTTAAAGGCACTTAAGTAAGTCCATCTGACTTATTCTAAGGCATTTTTTTAAAGATTAAAAATATATTTAAATATGCGTGTCAAAGGGTTAAATAGGTAGGAGAATGAGCTAAAAAATGCATGAGGAATTAAAGAAACTACTTTAGTTTTAAAAATGAGTAATTTTCAGAATTTGTTTACTATTTCATAAAATTTGGTATATGCTAATATTGTAAATTCTCTCGAAAAAGATAGTGACACACAGAAATTAAAGATTTCCACACGCCAGAAATGAAAAACATGAAAATGTATGGGAATTTAATGCATATGCTTGCAAAAAGCACGTATCTGCCTTTAACAAATCACGTAAATATTTATTAAATTATTTATAAATGTTTTTGAAATGGCGGATTTATTTATTCATCATAAACTCCTGTGAAAGTTTATGAATGAATCTAATTATTAAATGCATCTAAATTTATATTGATTATAAATATTATCTAAATATATAATAACCTTAACATTGATTTGTAAACATAAATTGAAATCCTGTTGACAAATACGTTTTAAAACTATTTAAGCAAGAATTGTTTGTACTGAAAAGCAATCTGTTAAAGGTATTGTAAAGCAAATTCTATGAGATGTGTACTTAAGGAAGTAAAGAAGAGTTTTTAGAATATGTATTGTTGAAATTATAGGTAAAAAAAATAAAAATCTGGTAAGTATTAAAAGAATTAATTCCTTATATTTTATAATAACTCAGTTATAAGTTTTAAATAATATTAAAAAAAAAGAATGCTTTTATTCCCTTTCAGAAATATTCCTAAAAAGTAGTACATGAAAATCAGCATCAATATTTAACATATTTCTCTTAAAATAAAAGGTACTCTAATTTCAAATGAACTGAACAGAGCATTAATTATAAACTAACTCAGATTTTCAATTTCAAAGATGCCTCAGAAGCTAAAACATCAACTCACATTTGAGAAAGTATTTTAGGATGAAGCTCTGTAAATAAAAAAAGAAAAAATAATGTTCAATTTTAATATCAATACAATATTAAACTTTGATCTTAATTTTTGTAATCCTTAACTGAATAAAACTGAATTACCTTAATTATTTTCCTAATGTAATTAACGAAAACTTGTGAAAACATTTCATTCAAATTAAACTGTTCTAGGAAAAGTATAGCATTTAGTTCTGTTCAGAATGAAATGTTGTTTAAAAATGCATTCTTTTCACATACTTATGATTCTGAAATATTGTAGAAAAATAAAATATATATACATTTATACATATATTTACAATGTTATGAACAGTGGCAGATTTTGCTTTCGTTAAGAAACTTCATAATTTTGTTCATAGCAATTGCCATGTAGGCCTGCTTTTGCTAATAAAATTTTTTCTAATGTGTCATCACTAATATTAGATCTTAATTCATCATCATTATTGAAATTTTTACCATTCAAAGAGTTTTGTAAAGATCAAAACAAAAAGTAATCAGATGGTGCAAGGTCAGGACATCCCAACCAAGCTCCAATAATTTTTGCCGAGTGACCAAAGATGTGTGTGGCCTTGCATTGTCATGATGGAATACAACACCTTTTCGATTTGTCAATTCGGGCCGCTTTTCTTCAACTGCATTGTTTAATTTCGTTAGTTGTTCAATGTAGACATCAGAATTGATCGTTCGGTTGGGTGGTAAGTAGACAATTCCTTTTTAATCCTACCAAACTGATAACAAAACCTTCTTTTGATGAATATCAGCTTTTGATGTTGTTTGAGTTGGTTCACCTGGCCTGCTCCACGATCTTTTCCGCTTGATATTGTTGTAAACAACCCATTTTTCATCGCCAGTTATCAGTCGTTTTAAAAATGGATCATTTTTATTACGTTTCTTTAGCAAATTGCAACTGTTAATGCGTTGCGTTAAATGCGTTTCTTTCAGTTCATGAGGAACCCATGTATCATGTTTTTGAACATAGCGAAGTTGTTTTAAGTGATTTTCAATGCATGTATGTGATACATGAAGCTTCTCTGCAATCTCACGTGTTGTACTGTGACGATCTGAATCGATTATTGCTTTGATTAGGTCGTCATCAACTTCAACTGGACGACCAGAGCGTTTTTCATCTTTGAGTGAAAAATCACCAGAACGAAATTTGGCAAACCAATTTTGACACTGCCGTTCTTTTAAGGCTTTGTCACCATAAACAGCACATAACTTTTTATGAGCTTGCGATGTGTTTTCCCTTTGCGGAAATAAAAAAGCAAAATATGATGAAAATGTTTCTTTTGATTTTCCATTTTTCAACGAATGCCAAACGATAACTACGCAACCGATCAAAAAACTTTTTTTACTGATTGACAGCTGAATTGCCAACTATCAAATAACAAAATGTGTTTCACATTTGTACTATGTCTGCAACCCTAAAAATTCAACTGAAGCCATCTATGAGTGAAATCCGCAATTACTTAGTTGCCAACCCAATATATTGTAAATCGGGTTGGCAGGAGAGCAGTCAAAAGTCGGGAGTCTTCCACCTAAATCGGGAGAGTTGGCAACTCTGTCAAAGAAACCATCACAACTCACTTCCAATCATTGGCGGGAACATTTTATGAAGAGAGTATTGCAAAGCTTGGTCATGTGCAGAAATAACCTGTATTGTACATTATGTTTGGTAATAAAATCTTTTTTGTATACTCGTCCGTCTCTTTTTTTAAAGCCCATCGAAGGCTGGGGAAAAAATAGCCCATGTATGTCTACAACAAAGCAGTTGCAAAAATAAAGGCCACTAAAGACATTTTTACAGACACAATGTTCATTATATATATATATTCATAGAACACACAATAATATATAAAATATGCAGAGGTGATTGTAGTCACATTTCAAAAATCCTGAAAAATTAATTACAAATGCATTACAAATCCACATAATTTCAGAATTTTTATGTGAAACATGCATACACAGATATTTTTACAATTCACTAGTAAAAACAAAGTGTATAATTTTTCTAATTTATTAAATATTAATTATGCTTCATTATGTGACATCAAGTCACATAGTTTCCTACCTATTTTAGTTTCTCAACAATTTTTAAAAATAATTTCTAAGCTTGCTTTTTATTTAGGAAGGGGTTATATTTTTCTTTGCTAATAATTGAAAATTTAATACAATCAGCAAGACCCTTTGATTTGGACAATATGTTATCCCTCAAGATTAGATCTTGAATTACGCATATTACCATGTGTTGGAGATAAGGAACTACTAGAAAGAAAATGGTATATGGAATATAAAGAATTTGAATAAACTGCCCAGTTATTCAATAAATTGTCCCTAAAACCTCCACCAGTAATCATGAGATGGATTATCTGACTCAAAAGTTTCATCTACAGTTTTGTGTAATAAGAAAAATTAACATTTCAGTCTGTGCAGCATCTAAGCTGCTACTATTCAAGGATATTCTTCATTCCGAAATATCTTCCATACAATGAAGATAACCTGTCCAATGACACAAGTTAAAACAAATTTAATCAATTTTGCCAATACTGCATTTCCATTTTTCCTCCTCATTTAATCTGAATATTTCAGATCAAAGCTTCACAATATCTCTCCCCCCTTTCCATACAAGTCAGACAGCAAAAATATCTTCATATAACCCAAACTTCCATCGCTCATACAAGAAGTTTGAACTCTAACTGAACTTTATCTAGTTTGAGAAGTTTTTAATTTATGCAATCTCTGGACAATATATTTGCTCTAAAACAAAATTAGATAAAAATTTTAATTTTACAGATTTATGGATAACAAAAGTCTACATTTCACAAATTTCAGAAAGTAAAAAATCTGGAATTAAAGCTATATACAGATCACAATCACTCCTGAATATGTTTTTTATTGGTTAGATTTCTATAAATAATTATATTTCCTATAACTTAATTAATAAGCAAACTATAAATAATTATGATTCCTATAAACCTAATAAGCAAAATTATACATGAATTTGAAACAGCTAGGTGAAGTAATTATTGTAATGGGAATCAACAGTACTAATAAAAGTACATATAAAAAATGCACTTGAACATGTCTTTGTTTCTCAATTCTACCTATTTAAATGATCAACTTCATAAAACATCAAGTAAAATTTTGAGAAAATGTTCCCAGAAATATCAAGCTTTGAGAATACTGATTAACTAACATTTATAAATACATTAGTTATCACTATCAGTATTTAAAAAAAATTTTAACATATATGCAAACTTTATTCATACCTTTTTATTTTTTTTTCCAGGAAATAAATGTATATGCATACTGATTAATCAATAGTTGGAAAAGGAGGTAAAACACCAGCTTTCTTCATTCGTTGATAATCAGCTTCGGCATCATATGTTCTAAAAATTTAAAAAGTTTAAATTTAAAACTTAAATAACTAGTAACAAAACAAGGATGACACAATTCTATAAATAGAATTACCTTTAAGCAAATAATTAATATTTTATGAAAATATCAGTGTTATAGTTCAACTGTCTCAAGCGCAACACTGGTTGGCATTCTGCCAAAACACATAGACCTCATCCAAAAGGGGCTGTATTACTTGCTATGAAGTGAAAGGTCTTCTCTTCCCCATTATTCCACCCTATTTTGAGAATAATTCGGTCAGAATGGTGCATGCGTGTTTGCGCTTATGGTCGCTGATGAGGCAATTGAACTATATTTGTTGATTTTCTTTAATAAAAAAATCTGATGTGTACATCACATGACTTCCTTGTACGAAATATTAAATTATAAGCATTTTTTCTTGCATTTCATTTAAACTTAATTGGATTGAATTAAATATAGTACTTCGGCGACAGCGCATAAACCACAATAGAATAAATGCATTCTTTAAAATTCACTCTAATATTTGTTTACCATAGCGACACTCCGGCGCTAGATTCACTTAACAGTATTAATAATAAATATATAACTTAATTAATTATTATTAACTTAGTTTCCGTTATATAATTATTATATAAGTTAAATGTTATATAATCCAATAATTATATAACAGTTAACTTATATATTTCGTTCATATTATAACTCATAATGCACAAAATTTATATCATTTAAAGAATAGAATTATCTAATCGTTGCCACATGTTCTATTCAAATACTATAATAAAGCTAAAATGATGTATAAAACAAATTAAGCAAACAAAACAAAAAAGAAACAGTTTTTCAGTATTTCTCATTTAATTAATTCAGTTCTCACTTCGCGAGAAGGCAAAAATACATAAAAACTCAAAATATCTATATTAAAAATTACGAAGTAAATCTTAAACACTTATTTCCTCGAAAAAATTCCAGAAAGAATTAAGCATGATTTAATTGGCAATAATAAATGAATGTGTTATCTTTGTTGTTGCGAAGCTAAGTTTCTCTAGATTGGCAACAAATCCACTAGTCTCCTGTTTCAAATGCAAACATCAATGGCTGCCATCAAGAGAAGTATTAGGCTTAGCGGCACTTGAACAACTTTAAAATTGTTGATAATTCTAAAAATATTGCATAGAGATTTACTAAAGGCAAAAAAAACCTTAACCGGAAGATAAGAACAACATAATTCAATCATTTTTAAAGCAAAAAATGTACAAATTACAAACATATAAGAGTAAAGAAACTGAGATCACTGAGCCGGGTAACAGAGTGGATATATATATAAATATATTTATATACGTTTGGTGCTGTGAACTGCCGATTGCAACCAAAATACGAGGTGCACACATCACATGTTATAGCAGTCCTACATACAAAATTTCAACGTTCTGAGGCTACTCGTTTTTGAGTTATGCGAGATACGTTCGTACAGACGCCACGAAAAATTCTCTTCAGAATTAATTTTAAAGCAGTTTTATAATTTTTTTGAAGGAAAAGAGTATTTTATTCTGTCCTTACATACAGATATCACGCAAAAACATCGTTAAATTGCATTCGATAGTGGTCGTTGAAATATGCTGCCTAAAACTTTTCGCGATTACAATACTTTTTACTTCGTACAAGGAAGTAAAAAACAGCAATACCACTTTGTTAATTAAACAAACAATATCTGACAGCCCCTTAACAGATCTCGGGTGTAACTCTTTAGTATAGAGAATACCTAAAGTAGTCAAACGAATATCAAACTCATGTATTAAATGGCATGCTGTTACCTTGTTCTTAAACCATTTCCTGCATATACAGTCTTGCTAAAGAAGTCCCATAGTATGAAGGTGTTTTCTGAAATAGTAGTGCCCCATGATGAAGCCCACAAGTGTTTGTATCTTTATATTTAGTCTTGGGCACCTAAGAATTTCAGAAGCAATCTTAGCAGAAAGTTTGATGAGGGAATGAGGGATTCATTTATACTCCTTCGATTAAGTTCCTCTGAGTTTCTTTATTTAGAGAAGAAATATCTACCTCAGAGGTTTTACCTGCAAAAGCAGAATTTTTAGTTATAAGAAAGGTCCACCCAGTATTGCCTGTTGCTGGGTAAGGCAAAATACTCTAGACGTTGCCAGGCATTTTAGAGGCTTCATTAAGACACTATAAGCACAATGTCACTCATACTAGGCACGGGTTGTAAAACACCAGAGTTATGTGAGGGGGTTCAAAGCTTTTTATTTATTATTCGAAGCTATCCTATCAGATAATACAGGAATACGGCTATCTACCACGCACCTAGTAGCCAATCAAGCCCTAGGAACGGTAAGATTAGTGTTGGAAAATATAACTTATTCTTAACCTTTTACTGCATCACCTCTCCTCCTTGAAATATTTATTTAGTTTAGTTCTTATTTTAATGTAATATAGTAGTTATTTCTACTTCTTTTTCTTACTGCCACGTTTGCGTTGAGAACGGACTGTTTCAACTTAATTGAGATGCAAAAACGAAACAGGATGTTACGTCATCTGGAAAGCCGATTCGTGCCGATAGCTGATTGGTCGCCATGAGATGATGTCATGCCTACTTCTGCTATAAGTATCTCGCGTCGCTCTGGCTCAGCCCTCCTTCTAGTTCTTGCTTTACTGGCACTTGGGTTTGCGGTTTCCAGCCCCTTCAGAAGGATGCGTGGAGTCCGGTGAATAAGTTCCTTGGTTCCTGTACACAAGATGATTGTTTCAGAATAAGTTCCTTGGTTCCTGTATACAAGATGATTGTTCCAGAATAAGTTCCATGGTTCCTGTCCACAAGATGATTGTTCCAGAATAAGTTCCTTGGTTCTAGAGGCTACCATGTGAGTGACAGCTGTTGGCGGCATCCATGTTCTTCATAAAGGTAGCATTTAAAATACGTTAGCGGCGATGTTTTAGCTAGGCTATGATTCCTCGTGTTCAACTACAGGTAAACTGGAAGTTAGGCCGGTTTTAAGTGCTCTTCAAGGAACTTGATTTAAATTTCAGGTGCCTTTCTTGATCATTGATCATGGACCTTATTGACATGTGTAGCCAATTTCAGTATGAGGCCGCATAATTTACCGTTTAGGATACGTTTTGTCACGTATTGAATGCCAGTGTTTTTGGAGACCAGGTAAAAATATTATTTGATGAATGATGGTTATACAGTCAAAAGTTGTTAATTCAGACACCCATAATCCGGAATGATCTATAATCTGGACCTCAAAGCTTCAAACTTTCTGCGCATGCATCTAGTTGACGAATGCGCATAAGGCCTTTACGGCTGAGAATATGCTTGTGCGCGTGCGCAAAATACGTTTACGAGTGCGCATTTAATGTATAACAGACGGTAAGTAACTAAGCTAAAATTATTTAATTATCTATTTCAGTTAATGTTGCAGATTGCGTTGTTCCTTAATCTTCGAATTGGATCCGGCTTATTATTTTTTGCAGACTGTTAGAGCACTTTTATAAAAGTAAGCTTGAACTTTCGATTATGTCAAATAGAATTTCTGATATATATTTATTAATATGTAAATGATCTACAAAGCGAAAGTATGTTTCGAAGTTCATTAAACAAAAAGTGGAATTGCTACAAAAAATGGATAAAGGCATATCCTTTGTTTATCTAAACTTTAACGTTTGTTTATCTAAACTTTGTTTATCTTTAACGCCACGTAATGAATCGGAAGTTGATCTGTCAGCACTATCCTTATCTTCAGAGCAGATGTTTTTATTTTATTTGGCTTATAATTCCTTATTAAATGTAGCATTTCATCTCGATGTACTCCATCTTTGATATGATTTAAATCAAATTCCTCGTCATTATAATTCGCTTCCGATAGCAAAGAAAGTGACAGAGGTTATTGAAAACGAAAAAATTTCGATTGAAAAATTAGTCCGTACTCTCGACATAGCAATTATAGGACTTGAACAGTGGAACTTTGTAACTGAACAAGAAATTATGTCTGCTTAAAGAATTAAAGAGAATGTATTATCACATAAAAAACGAAGCAACTTAAACAACTTACATTGAAAGAAATGTTTAATAAAGTAAACAAAAAATTAAGCTTTTTTTTTTTTGTAAATTTTGATACCCTTTAGATCATAATTGTTCTTTATTTCATAAATTACGGTTTCATTTTTAATTTTATAATTTGCATGCCATTTGTTGGAATATGGGTACGTACGAACAAAAGGGTACAAGATTTGGTTGGAAAATGAGCAAAAGATAGTAGAAACCCTAAATGCTACTTTTAAAGAGTCAATTGGAATGCAGAAAAGTGGCAGTGGAGCTGCACTGGGCACCCTTCCTGATTTGGAATCTGAAGAAAGGGTAGAGTTCCAATCTACTGATACTCCAGTTGGCTATTTTCCTGAAATAGAGGAAAGAACCGATACCAATGTACCTTCTTCTACAATTGGCACTGACACTCAATCTACATTGAGACAAGTAACTTGGCTTCGTAAACCTGTTCCAAGGCCAGACGGCACTCGTACGGATGTGTATTATTTTGAGAGGGGGTCTAATCAAAGACTACGATCACCAAATGATGTAGAAAGGTATTGCACTGAACATAATATTCAGTATGATCCTACCTTGTTTGATTTCAAGGGAAGCAATACTTATATAGTGGTGAAATCGACCCAACTGGCACTCCTTCAACGTCATATACCCGAGATAGCTGACTAGAGGTTTCAATTCCAAACACTTATAACCAGGCAATGAAATCCACAGAAAAGCTTAAATGGATAGAGGCAATGGAAGAGGAAATGGCCAACATGCGAAAGCATAAGGTATGGCATCTTGTTCCACTTCCTAAAGACAAGACTCCACTAGGTTGCAGGTGGATTTTCAACATTAAACGTGACGAATTTGGAAACATTGTTCGTTTTAAAGCTCGTTTA